CCCTTAAATTAAACATTATAAATTTTACCTCATAAATTTTATCTAATAAATTTTACCTCACAATTGCTAACAAATCATTAAAAAAATGCAATGCTTAGAGAGGAATTTTTAGGCACGTTAAGCTAAAAAAATTATGAGGACGCTACCGACTCATTCCAGAGAGAAGATCAAGGCTCTTAAAAGTTTCGAAAGAGTCAAACCACTTGTCTTGATGACCTACTTGGTGATCTCAGAATGTTTGAAATCAACAATGACAATGACAAAGTCAAAAACAAGGGTCTAGCCCTCAAAGCTGCTGTGGCATCTCAAACAGAAGAAAGTGATGAAGATGAAGGTTCACTTGAGGAAGATGTTGAATTCAAGGAAGCTTTTCCCCTGATTGCCTGGAACAATGGTAAGATGCATCAAAAGCTGTACAAAAGCAAATTTGCTGGGAAGAAATTCAACAACAATAATAGAAACTCATTTCAAGAGAAACGAACCAACATTCCTTCCTCTAAATCAGATAATCAAAAGATTGAGAATGATCAATGCCGAGAGTGATGAGGCTATATATGGACACTTTCAATATGAGTGTACTAACCTCAAGAAGAAAAATAAGTCTCTAAAGTCTAATGGGATGACTCTGATGAGAAAGAAACTGATGAACCTACATCACACACAAGGAACATGGCGATTCATTCTACTGGACACAAGTTTTTGTGTCTATCAGCCACCCATAGTCCTATGAAATTTGAGGAAAGTGTTAATGATTATCAAACTCGTACTTGTGTGTCTGATGTTTCTGATGACAAAGAGATCAAAATAATTGTGTGGATCTGGTACATTTTGTTGGCCATGGGAAAATGCTTGCGTGCTGCAGAAGTAATGGAGAAGCTACGTAGTGAGATCAACACTTAAAACCCAGACTCAGACAAATGATTCGACTCATTATTTAATTTATGAAATTACATACATACGCATGTAACATGTAAAATTTTATTTACACCTATGCATGTGCACATGATCGAATACTAGTTTATTAAAAATGTCATGTTGCCAATTTAAACATTTGACTAGGTTATTTAAATAAAGAGGTCAGGTTTGTCCCCAAAATAAATTTAGAAGGAAAATTATGAAAACCACCCCAAAATTATGTTTATTTCTAACATAAAAAGTGGGAAAAAAAAAAAA